ACTAATAATACAAGAAAATTGTGCTGTGAAGGCAAAAGGAGCACAAACTCACTGTACTGTAATAAACATGATGAAGAATGCTAAATAAAAAAAAAAAAGAAGAGGAAAACACCACATTTTTTTATCAAATGTGTCAATGCTGGAGATCCAGGTAATAAGGATTTAGACAACTCAGATATTAACAAGAAGGAATTTGACTCAGTGGCCAGTATAGAAATCTCTGTGATGACTTGCAGTAACTCCATATTAAACCACACCATTTTAACCTGAATACAGGTGAGAAATTCTGTATTAACAAGAATTTTGATGAGKAGCATACACCTAATAAAGCCTGGTTTCTTAGAAATGCATGTGTTCTAGGCTTATATAAACACATACCTTGGCTCCATCTTCATATCCTACTGGGTTTCACTGTTCCTTTGTGTTTTCTCATTTTTTTTCTGCTGTTTTTTTAACAATTTTCTTGATGCAGTCAGTCCCCTTTCCATAAGCAGCAGMTGGACATTGAGCATCACAGAGCACAGCTGGCCCTAAGTTCTTTGTGCTCATGATGCAGCCTCTYCTTCTTTAATAGGGATCCTTGTCCACAGCAGATCCTTTTAACAGAAATGGACAGAAGCTAATAATCTTTGGGAAATCCTTTGTTAAAACTGGGTTGTGATCGGCCAGTGGTCAGAAATTACCAGGAGGAGCTGACAATCACATCAGCCTTATTTCACAAGGGAACCACAAGTTAGAAACATCACTGATTTTCTTGAACAGCAGCAGCCTATTCAGYAATTCAGAGATGGGATCTTGAATACCTATGGATCTCTGGGACAATAAAAGAAATCTGAGGGCAGGCTCTTTAACATCCAATCACACAAGCTGGAGAATTAGGAAAACCCTTTCTAACATCCCTCTCCAACACAGGAACTCATCCTATATTAATATGCCCAAGAGTGMGCAGTAATACATCGTGATTAGGGTACCTATAATTTTGTTAGAAAACTTTCCAACATGAGATGCTGAATCCAAAATAAGGTTCCTCAGTTTTGAATGTCATTACGATCTAATCACTGCATTGCCTGAAGGAGTTACTTGCCTAGAAGCCAGCAGTTATGACTAGATTACATAAAATATGTAGAAACAGAGGATATTCCAAGGAAGCACAAACATTTATACTTTATTTCTGGCAGAGGCTTATTTCCAGAGTTAAATGAGATTGTAAATGAAGCAGGCTGTAAGAGAGCATCAATGGCATAATGGAAGAAAAAGACAAATCTCAAAAAATTGAGGAGCAGTTCCACAGATTAAGAGAGATGACCAGTGTGGTCAAAATCCTCATCCTGATTAAATGCTTATGTTAATATAACAATTAGGAGAAGTAAGAGATGACATGAAACACAGGAGAAACAGCAATCTGTATAATCTACAGTGGGTTTTGGCACTGTGAGAAATTCACATGGAGGTAACTGTTGATGGATTAAACAGAAGAGAAAGACTGAATAGCTGCTTATCTCCAGTTTTACACTGACTGGATCCTAGCAGGAGTGTTTCAGTGTACAGAATAAAAACACATAACATGTCTTTTGCAAGATATTACAGACAATATTCATGATTCTTCTTCACTCAGTTTAATTGCATTGAATACACATTGAAAGGGAATGGGGGACAAGATTAATCAGGAAGAATTTGACATTGATGTATTCCCCCTACAGAACAAAAACTGCCCAGTGTTATGCCTTCATGCCTTTCAGGACCACTCTCAAAGACACAGGATGTTATTGGCACTTTTAAGCTAAAACACCAAAGGTTCAAACTGATTCCACCCCACAGCCTGGAGATCAAAGACAAAACACCTCCAGCCCATATTCTTACTCTCACTCAACAAAGGGCTGCTGGCACACAGAGGTTCCCCATGGAGAGGCTTTTGATTTGAAAGGCTAAGGGATGGGTGTCTGCATTTGCCCTACTAAGAATATGGGTTCAGAAACATTTTCCTAGCATACCTCAGTGAAAGTCCTTCAGGATGGCATAAGTCTTTCAAGACTAAAGCAACTTTCTCCTTTCACAGATATAAAATGCTCCATTAAAAAATAATTAATTTTGYTATAGTAAGAGATAATTAAATCAGCCAGCAGTTAAAGGCAGCTAATTGAGAACACAAATTCCCTTTCTGCTGCTGATCATAACTATATGGGAATTTGTCAAGATGAAGAAGGAAAAGTACCTGATTTTTGATATGGCATGGAAATAAGACATGTCACTTTCAGACTGAGATTCTTCTCAACCTCTGATTMTCTTCCCATTTCACATTGTTGCAGGCCATCTGTGACCTGATTTAACCAGTTAAGTAAAAAAGACAGTATCTTTATCAAAAGCACACAGTGAAGAGAGTRGAGACCAAAGCTGCCTTGCAAGAATCTATTTCCTTCTCCTCCCTCATCACTACTATAATTGCCTGAGTAGCAAATGCAATATGAAAATTTCCAGCACATTTTTACTCTTGGCATTTTGCTTCATTGTTTGGTTTTGGCAACTCCTTATTGTAGAGGATGGAGAAGARGCAGAAAAGAAAAATTCATCCAAASAGGAAAAGCAGTCACCCAGTAACTTGGAAATCAGGGCTAAAAGGCTTTCTGAACAGCTTTGAAGTCAGCACGCCTCATATTGTATTTGCCCAGGAAAGTTGCTTTTTTTTAGTTGTTATATTCTGATATTCTTCTTTCATCACTATTTTCCCAAGACTATCAATATCATCCYGCATTTCTCTTGCATTTAAGACAGCAATCACTTTGCTGAACTCCATGACACCTTTGTAAATCAAATCAAATGTTCCTGCTAGGGTTAAATGCTTCGTTTTCATGACTGCAGGCACAAGGACAGGGACAAAGCTCTGGAGCCAGACATCCAAATACAAATCCTCGATTCAATAATACAATGTCAGGTTAGTTTTTGTCTATATACTGTTTTCCCTCTCCTTGACTGCAACATGAAATGACTTCAKCATCATCACTATTTCATATGACAATTTATGTGAGTTTGCTGTGATTCCTTGACATGAAGTTTCAAATTTTGAGGCAGAATAGCCTCGTATTTTATCAGGCTGAATATTATTGCTCCACTTCTGAGAACTACAGATTTCTATCTTGCCCTTCTATTCAAGTTCTGATTTTAATCAGAGACACTTACAACAGTGGATCCTGAAGAGCAGAAGGGTTTGTACTCTCTTTTCCCACCATCTTGTACATTCTATGTCTGATTTGCAGATACACATATTRCCATGACATAACACTTCCACAAACAATATTTTGATTGCTGCAATTGYTGCTATACCATCCACTAAGCCTTGTCACACTCCCCAGCCATGCTGTTGTGCTTTTTCATCATTTAGGCAATCAATATACAAAAACCTGACATAAACAGCAGTTTTGCCACRTGAGGATACTAAGCCAAAGCAATCAAGAAAGCCTTGATACACTGATACCATAAATAATGTCATAAATAGTCACAGCCATAGTGGTTAAACACAAAGAAATAAATGCTCTCTGGTAGCAATGCTTCATATCATTCTATAACTGAGCACATATATTGACAAATTCAGGAATTTAAAAGGTTTCTAATCACCCTTCCTTAGACTGAAATTGTTTTCCAGATTGTATCAGGCAGAACTTGACTGCAAATGAAAAAAAATTAAACACAATGAAATCCAGCTATTTAAAACATCCTACATCATATGGAAATGCCATGTGACAAATGAAAAAAGAAAAAAAAAAAANAAAAAAAAAAAAGACCTCCAGCCACTTCATTATAGGTCATGAACTAGGCCATTTTAAAGGGAGAGCGTTAAAGGATAGTTTCAAGCTTTCTGTTATTTTCTCCATTCTCCCCAGAGACACACTATTATTTGGTTTCCACAGAAGAACTGTTTTTCACATCAGGAAAAAATCCTGAAGCAGAAGAAAAAAAGATCTGATCTGACAAGCATTGCAAACACAGTTAACAAGGTACTTTAATTATCCTCCTAAGATTTTCCCATTTGTACTCTGATCATCATCTTCTTCACAAACTTAATTATGCCTCATTTGTTCTTGCTGCACTACTCTCAGTGAGTATTCCAGGTGGAAAAGAAGAGCCTGTTTGTAACTGTAACCTCAGGTAATTGTTATATATTATCATTTTATTATTTTTATATAAAATAATTCAGGGGTTTTAAGAAAAAAAAAATATACAGGAGTATCTTCTGGCAATATGAATATTGAGTAAAAAGCCAGRGTATTTCCACATCAGAAAAGCAAAACTCAATGGTTACATGAGCAACCATCCATCTGAAAATTAGCACTAGACAGATGATTGAATAAATGAAGAAAATCATGCTGTTTTCATCTGCATTTTAAAGATTAGTATTAATAAATTCTGATTCCTCAGCAGAGGGAACCTTTCCACAAACTTGACCTTTGAGAAAGTCAGAAAGAAGAACAACTGGGAATAAATGTGCTTCGTGAGTTAAATACTGAGACACGAACCCAGTTACTATTTAGAATTTATGCACTTCCAGCACATTTAAAGTCAATAGGAATTACTGCCTTATGACTGAGAACAGACTGAGTAAATGCCCTGAAGTACCATAATTTAGGGCCTCATGAGTTGTTTCACCCAACTTTTCAAAAGTCCTAGGTTTGCCCCCCTATCCTACCACAACTGAACTGGATTTCACCTAGTTTACTTTTTGAGACACATTATTTTTGTTTAATGAACCTACTGAGACACATGACTGCTGCCCCAAACTCACAAGCATTTTTGAGYACAATGAAATGCCAAGCCTTAAAATCCAGTACTATCTACAAGTAACTAACCTTTATTCATAATTTCACTGGTCTTCAAAACTGAAACATAAAAATTACACAAAATGCTAAGCTTTAAAAGCATCAAACTTAAGTTTCTAAACTTTAAAAAAAAAAAAAAATCCAGTGATACAAGACAGTCAGCATTAGAATATATTCCATTCCACGTCTTACCTGAACCAAATTCCATCCCTTTAGAGATTCAGCAATGATAGAAGTAACTGTTGCACATACACCACCAAAAACCATCAGATGATTAGGTCCATATTTTATTGCATCATAGAAGGCTTTGAGTCCTTTTGCATTGTCACACTGGAAAAAAAGAGAGAGACAATATTCAATGTCACAAATAAAATAGTTAACAAATAAATAAACTGTTGGGCACTTGGGCAGGGGAAAAAAAAAGGGGGTTCTACAGATTTAAACATAAGACCTAAACATGAAAACTTAGAGCACTCTCTTCTGACCCCTAATGTGCCACAGTAAAAGAACAAAATCCCTCCTCACATTGTAMAAAACCAGAATTTTGATACCACCATTTGACAAATAATGAAAAAGTCCAGCAAAAAATGGTTGGCCAAAACTTTTTCTACATTCAGAGCTMCCATTTCCCAAAACAATATTTGGAATGCAACACCAGATTTTCAGCAGGACTTCCATAGTCAGAGAGAAGCTTGACACTACTGATGGTGTCTGTAAAAAAAGTTCTGTCTCTAATGAAGACACTTATGTAACTTCTACTTAAATTCCAACCTCAGTATTCTGTGCAAAAGTGTATAGAAGAGAGCCTGTCATTCAGAAGATAACACAAAGTCTTCAAAAGATAACAAAATATTCTTTAAAAGAGCTAAGAGTTAATTGTTCTGCCCTCATAGCTTGCACATCTTTGAGTGGAAGGCTGGGCTAGATTACACTCTGAGGTCCTTCTAACCTGACCTGTTCTTGGCTTCCCTGATAATTAGTTTGATCATTATTTCAGGTGTAAAGAATTTTCCTGTAAACTGAGACCAGGACAGAGAATTAAGAAACAAATTCTGATGCAAGTCAGTATTGCAAAAGCTGTATCAATCCTTGTATAGAGTAGTATCAGTCATTCATAATAACCYYAATTCCWAAGTTTGAAACAKAGTATTAATAAATTAAGTGCCYTAAGGTAAGAATTTGAATTCCAAAYCATAATGGAAATTAGGAGTGCCAACAGACTATAATGGCAGCTTACACTGCTCCAGTAACAACTACTTCTCTCTCTTTTTGAAACAAACGTTTGCCTCCTCAACAAAGTCTTCTCTGAATGTACTCTTTACAAAAACTACCACACACCAGCCTCCAATATTTCAGTATGACTATTCAATAAAACAGTTCTTTTACTATCAGCATCCAAGTAGTAATTGTATTGCATTCTGCAGAGAGAATAAAGATTTTGACTAAGAAGTTTGGAAGCTTATATTAATCTGCTTACTGAATTAATATGCTAAAAGAAAAATTATTATATTTGCATTCTATCTGCAAGAATAGAATTATTGCTCCCACTTATTCAAAAGGATACAGATATTTAACACRTAGACTCTTTCAAATTGCATAATATAGCTCAACACTTTCCTTCTTAAGGCAGAAAAGAACTCAATACCACTCAGAATGGCAGAGGCTCCCTTATCAGTTTGATGTGTTGGTGGCAAGTTCATATTGTGAGAGAATTAACATGGTGATCATTGACAGAAGCAACATTCTCCATCCTTACTCCTTCTCTCCCTTRTTAAAGACCAGTTCATTCCAAGTGCAACTAGAAGGCTCAGCTACTTCTTGAATTTATAAACAGCCAAGGACAGTAGAGCTTTAGTTATCTGTACTTCATTGACGTTTAGCCAAGTCTTTTCTGCCATCCACCTTACCATTTGAAGCTGCAGCAAAAGAGATTGTGGAATTGGTATGCATATTGACTTAAAACCAGTTAATGTAATTATTTTTCTTTTYGCAGTAGGTCACCTTTAAAATGCATCACTAAGTAGAAGTTTAAGAAAGCAAGCCATGTATGAAATAAAAATGATGGTAATAGTAAAATAACTGTCCAAAGATGCAGCCTGTGAAGGGCCTTGTACATGAAAAGTTATGGATAAATAAAGTTCCGCATTCTAAATGATAAAGACTTACGGCATGTTATCTGAAGTGAAATCCACACTAAAATCCACCCTTACATCAAAAATGCAGATGCATTTTTAACTGCATATTTTAACTGCTACAAAATGCTTCTCACTGAAGTGAACTTCAGCAATTATGGGTCCCAGTAGGTCGACTCACTGTGAAGTCCAGAATTGGTTTCAATATAAGGTTTTTCTTTCTTATTTGATCTTTTAATGGTTATGAATTTACTGCCATGACAACAACCCCTTCTCAATCACACAGCAATTCTCTTGGGAAGGTAAAATCTTTGTTCATCTCTGTCCCAAAGTGAAAGCTTCATGCTGCTGTGATATATTACTGATCGATCAAAAGTATCTGCAATAACACCTGGGCTCCTCTCCGATGTGATTCAGTTAAAAGCTTGCCATGCTTTCACCTTTGCACTTTCCTCCTGACTATCTCAGTTCTCTCTCCTCTAAGTTACCATGAATAATTATAGTAGACTCTGCCTGCACCTTTAACAACTGTCCCAATAGTCCAAAATATGTCTCAGAGATAAAGAATAAGACCTTAATACTGTAGCTGGCCAGAGCTGGACAGAAATGAAAGGAAAATGAGAAAGATGGGAGAAAGCAGACTTTCACATTTGTTTAATGTCACATTTCACAACATCCACCGCGCATAACATCCTTCCCTGCAAGCAACAGAACAGTCTGTCACAAGCATTAAAAAATAAACATTCAGATAAAAATAATAACCCTACCAAGCCAGACAGACAAGCAGTAGAAAAGGTTTCTTCCTGCCTCTAGTCTGAGGAATGTACCCKTAGCGAGCTCCTGAAGCCCTCTGAATAAGTGGACTATTTCAGATATCCCAGGTTGCCACCGCTGATGCTCATGGTCCTCACATGCCAACCCCCATATATGTAACCCTAAATGAGGGCAATGCTGTTGAAAGATGACAATCACTGAAATTCCCATCATATCATCACCAAACAACTTGAATTGTTGTCTCCAAGCGACTCCAKCTAGGTCCCGAAACAACCCTTCGCAGCAACCTATTTACAGTGCAACAGAAGACTGCACAAGAACCAAAATCCACATGAAAAAGCAAGGGCTAGAAAGTCCTGGCCACATGTGGATGACAAGAAACAGACTGTCATTAATTGGAGCATGACTGATGGCAATGCAGGGGATAGAATTCCTCCTAAAAAGTCACAAATTTATATGATGAAAAATATAACCTAAAGTAGCCAACATTGCTCTCACTATCAAGTTTTGATCTTTTGCCTAAATTGCCATGGACATGTCTACTTCACTGAGCTCAASTGCAGCCAGCTGACTTTCCACCCATATACAAAACCAGCCAGCCATGCTGTGCCCCTGAACTTGACTGCATAAACACTGACAATGGTTGCAATATCTTAGTTTTACCAAAACTAGAATTTCAAATAAATGTGATTTGTTACATATTGCAATTTCCTTCAGTAGAAGGGGCTGAGAACTATCTACCCCAAACACATTAATTGCTATGCTTARTCTCAGCCAAAAGCCAGAAATAAGCAAAATATAAATAGCAAACATACATATTAATGAAATAATTACATTAAGTGTGTTTCTTAATACATTAACTTGATACAGATTACATGGGAAATTCACAAGGAAAAATATGAGCAAATCACTAAGCAAAGGTTTGTGAAGAGTCCTGCTTCCTGCTGTGACAAAGACAGCTTAGTATCACAGCTGGCACCTGACAAAGTGTGCATAGAACCGCCTATTTTAATTAAGAATAATCATCAGATGAACGACTGCCTAGGAGACGAGTCAAAGGAATTTGTGGATTGAAGTTGTAACCTTCCTGAATCCTCTCCAGAGGAGAGACTGACAAATAAAATCTTCCACTGAGGAAAGGATCCGAATACACAGRGAGCAAGGACTGCCTGAGGCATTAGGGGTGCACAAGGACAAGAAACATTTCTGGAGAGAATAGCACAGCAGCTGAATACACAAGAGAGACCTCCAATGTACCCAAAGGCCCTCTGCAGCAAAGAGAAAGGATGTCCCATGTGAAGGCCACACTTCACTGAAGTCAGGAGAAGCAGCAGGACTGACCTGTGAGGATTGCTGGCTGCCAGGAAAGGTGTCTGGCAGGCAGTGAAAGAGACACTGGGGTGTGAAATCCTGAAATCCTCGTGGCCACAAGGATAACTGCAAATCTTTGGTGCACAGAGCAGAAACCCGTATGGCTCTCATGCATAAAAAGTTTTGCCAACTCCTATAACATTGTCAAGCTTGAGTAATTACAGAGCTCACGCAATTCAGCCAATCTTGATAGAGCTGCACAGCAATGAAAACTGTGGGGAGGGATGCAGTGGTCACATGTGTGATTATGTTTAGATTTCTAGCTRTTGGAGAGCTTTGCTGAACTACTGCTCACTAAGCTCTATTCTGGCACAACTATACTTTTTCTGAGTAAAAGTAAACACGAGAAACTATTTTGGTGTCTATTGAGCTACCGACAATTGATGTTAGAGAGCCTTTATGAAAAGAGGGAATAACAAACAGCTGTCATCTGCATAATAAAATATCCAACTTTATCAAGTGATATGAGAGCTTTCAGCAGCACTCTGCCCTAAATGCTCATAAATATATTAAAAGAATTCTTTGAACAGAGAGAACAAAGGTACAAAGCCTTATTCCTATCCTCTGCAAAATCTTGCTTAGAAACTAACTCTGTGTTGCATCAGCTCAAATGGAGCTAAGAGATGAGGAACACCAACAATTATTCTAATTTAATTTTCATTGACTTCTTTRAAGTCATCAATAAATACAGACAATTCAGTGAAGAATGTATAGACAACTTCTCAGAGCTACAAAAAATGCCAATCAAGTTAGCAACTCTGCCTGTTTTATGTGGGCAGGGCATGCTTCCCCTAAGGTTTCTCTGTGTTTCCAAGTATCTGCAACTTAGGTGCTTTGAAAGCCAGCAATTATATTTTTGCATTTCATCACTGCAGCTGGATTTTCYTTCCATGAGGTTGTACCACTGCTCCTGGAACCTCCACTTTGACAACCACAGCATCTGGTGACAACATAATTATCCATTGAAAGAAAAAGCACTACCTTTCATTTGTTCAAGAATACTKCACACTGTGCAAAGTAGGTGTGAGATGTCTTGCTAGGGGATGTTTGAATGCTATAAGTTCACAAATAAAATTAAACTGGGCTAGTTCATAGACCAAGAAGCAATTCAAAACTTCTTAATAGACTAATGGCAATTTTCTCAGGAAACYCCTGAATCACAGAAAAATGGTGGCTAGGATACTGTTCTAGGGAAGCAGGACAAGAATCTCACCCTTTCCTGCCAATCAGCTGSCCCAAGACAATGCCAAGAGCTCAAGAGTCTGGTCTGAACTTCTAGAGCCATTCCTATGTTCTGCATTTGAAAAAAGCAACCCCCTCCAGTAACTACTCCAAAGTTCTCTTTCTTA